GACAAAATCCAGCACCCATTTCTAATAAAAACTCTCAACAAAGTGGGAATAGAGGGATCATACCTCAACATAATAAAGGCAATATATGACAGACCTATGGCCACCATCACACTCAATGGGCAAAAACTAAAACCATTTCCATTAAAAACAGGAACAAGACAGGGATGTCCANCAAAAAAGACAGGGATGTCCACTTTCACCCCTCTTATTCAACATAGTACTGGAAGTCCTTGCCATAGCCATCAGACAGGAAAAAAACATAAAAGGTATCCAAATTGGAAAGGAGGAAGTAAAACTGTCATTATTTGCAGATGACATGGTACTGTACATAGAAAATCCTAAAGACTCCATAGCTAGATACAAAATCAACAGCCGGAAATCAATGGCATTCTTATACACTAACGATGAACTTTCAGAGAGAGAAGCTAAACTAGCAATACCATTTACCATTGCAACTAAAAAAATAAGATACCTAGGTATAAACTTAACCAAAGATGTAAAAGGTCTGTACTTGGAAAACTATGTGACACTGAAAAAAGAAATAGAGGAAGGTTTATACAAGTGGAAGAATATACCATGCTCATGGATTGGAAGAATTAATATCATTAAAATGTCCATACTAACCAAAACAATTTATAAATTCAATGCAATTCATATTAAAATATCAACAGCACATTTCATGGACATAGAACAAACATTTCAAAAATTTATATGGAACCAATAAAGACCCAGAATAGCTGAAGCCATCTTGAGAAAAAACAACAGAGTGGGAGGGATCACATTACCGATCATCAAACTGTATTACAAAGCCACTGTAATCAATACGGCCTGGTACTGGTACAACAACAGGCATATAGATCAATGGAACAGAACAGAGACCCCAGAAATAGACCCACGCCATTATGGTCAATTAATATTTGACAAAGGAGGCAAGAGTATCCAATGCAGTAAGGACAGTCTCTTCAATAAGTGGTGCTGGGAAAATTGTACAGATACATGCAAAAAATGAAACTAGAACACCAACTTTCACCCTCCATAAAAATAAACTCAAAATGGGTAAAAGACTTAAACGTAAGTCACAAAACCATAAAAATCCTGGAAGAAAACATAGGCAGTAAAGTCACAGACATCCCACGTAGTGGGCTTTTCACTGATACATCTTCTAGGGCAAGAGAAACAAAAGAAAAACTAAACATTTGGGCCTACATCAAACTAAAAAGCTTCTGCACAGCAAAAGAAAACAGCCTCAAAATACAAAGGAACCCCATGGTCTGGGAAAATATATTTGCCAAGGATGTATCTGACAAGGGGCTAATTTCCAAAGTGTACAAAGAACTCATAGCACTCAGCAAGAGGAAGACAAACAACCCAATGAAGAAATGGGCAAAGGACTTGTATAGACACTTCTCCAAAGAGGACATACGGATGGCCAAGGGACACATGAGAAAATTCTCAACACTGCTAATCATCAGAGACATGCAAGTTAAAACCACAATGAAGTATCACTTCACACCTGTCAGAATGGCTACCATCAAAAATTGACATGTGCTGGCGAGGGTGTGGAGAAAGAAGAACCCTGGTACACTGCTGGTGGGAATGCAGACAGGTGCAACCACTATGGAAAACAGTATGGACGTTCCTCAAAAAATTACAAATGCAGCTGCCTTTTTACCCAGTGATTCCACTCTTAGGAATGTATTCTAAGAATCCTGAATCATTAATCAGAAAGAATATATGTACTGGGATGTTCATAGCAGCACAGTTTACAATAGCCAAGATCTGGAAACAGCCCAAGTGCCCATCACTAGATGAGTGGATAAAAAAGCTGTGTGACATTTACACCATGGAATACTATGCAGCTGTAAAGAAGAAGAATCTCGTACCCTTTGGGACAGTATGGATGGACCTGGAGAATATTATGCTAAGTGAAATAAGCCAGGCAGCAAAAGACAAACATCACATGATTTCCCTTATATGTGGAATCTAAAGAACTTAATAAAGTGATGAACAGAACAGATTCAATGACATGGAAGCATGGATGTGACTGAAGAATGTCAGAGGGATATAGGAGGGAGAGTGGGTGAAGGGGGGGAGATTAACCAAAGAATTTATATGCATATAGGCACAACCCAAGGCCATGGATGGTGGTGGGGAGGGGTCTCCGGAGGGGGAAGAGACAGGGTGGAACAGGTCATTGGGGAGAAAAAGGGACATCTGTATATTTTTAAAAAATATATAATTAAAAAAATAATAATGAATTCTAGACATTCTAGCATATTTGAAGTGTTATCTCATTGTAGTTTGATTTTCATTTTTTTAACAGTGAAATTCAGCATCTTTTTATATACATGTTGGCCATATGTATGTTGTCTTGAAAGAAATGTCTGTTTAGGTCTTCTGGCCATTTTAAATATTGCATTGTTAATTGGTGTTGTGTTTATGAGTTCTTCTTAAAATTTTAAATCCTTCTTGGAGCTATTGTTTGCAAATATCTTCTTTCATTTGGTTTATTGTGTTCTTGTTTTGTTGGAAGTTTCCTTTCTTATGTAATAGTTAAATTTTATAGAGTCTCATTCATTTATTTTTGCCTTTACTTCCCTTGCCTTTGGGGGCAAATTCATATAATCTTCACTAAGATTAAGGTTCATAAGTTTAGTGTCTATGTTTTTTGTTTTGTTTTTTTTATGGATCTTGAGAATATTATATGAAGCTAGATAAGGTAAACCAAAAAAAAAAAAAAAAAGGAAATAACTATATGATTTCATTTATATGTAGAATATAAAAACAAAGTGACAAATGAACAAACAAAAAAACTAACAAACAAAAACTGATAGACACAGACTGCAGTATGGCAGTGACCACAGGGAAGAGAGGTGGGAGGGGTAGTAAAAAGTAAAGGGGGGTCAAATATATGGTGATTAAAGATGATTTTACTTTGAATTGTTTGCACACAAGGCACTATACAGATTACATATCATAAGAATGTTCACTTGTAACCTAAATATACTTAGTAACCAATGTTACCATAATAAATTTAATTTAAAAAGACCAAAAAAAAAAATCTATATTTTACTGATGATAGTACAGGCAGGACAATTGTTCTCTTTACATAGTTACTCCAGTTGTTGCATCTTATGTAATCTTACATAATTTTAGTAACATAAAATATGAAATTGACACAAGTCAATCAGTGTGCATAGGTGTATTCCATTTCGTCAGCATGCAGATTCATATAGGAGGACTATAACCAAAACAAAGTCATTTTTTTGGAAAATCTTAGAAAATTTTATAAATGTATTTCCTTTCCAAATTTTTAATACTTTGCAAATTTTTACTTTTGTTTGAAGACATGCTATTCTTTTATAAAAATCATACTGTGATGTTTCAGATAAAAAGTTATTCTTTTCCCACTTTAAATCTTACATATTATATGAATCTAACAAAAAATTGATGTCCATTTGTTCATATCAATTTTCTCTAGATTCTAGAAGTACCTATTTATAATTTTGTTTAAAAAATATTCACAGAAAATCAACCTTACAAAATTTAATAAATCATGATTTAGATATAAATAATTCATTTTCTTTTAAAACTTTACTATGCCCTATCTTTTAGGATGGTCTTTTAGCTTAAAATAACCAAACTTACCTCTTTCCAAAGGCCATTCTCTTATAGTGAGAGTGATATATAGCTGAAATGTTAATTGTGGAATGGAACCAAGAAAGGCCTGGATGATTGACATATACTTGAAAGCCTTGCACTGCACAAAAACACCATGAATTGAGTGAACAATCTCCCTTTCCATCATCATCTTTCTTCTTTTGATGCTAACTTGAGACCCTTTTTTCACCTGAGTAAGCTTTTTCAACACTTTTTGGTAATTTATAATGGTCTGCAGACACCTGTTAGAATGAAGTAACACTAAAGATTAATATTTGTTGGTGATAGATGTGTTAAAATATTTGAAATGTTATTATTAGATGAATATCTAATTTCTAAAATTATATTATTAAATATAAAAACTAAATCATGTATTACATAGTTTCCAATTTTATCATTTGTTTTAATTCAATTTCTCTAATTTTAATCTAAAAATATACATTAATAGATTCCTATAAAAATTCAAGCAATACGTTAACATCTTTTTGTTAACATACAATTTGCCTCTTCAAAATCAGTTAATATTTTTAGCTTGGGATAAAATATTTCAATATTTTTCCATATATTTATATTCTTATCTTAAAACATACCTAAGTTATTTTTCTAAAATAAAGTAGTGCTTACATAGTGTTTGATAAGTTAAATTTTTTTGACATTTTTTAGATGTTTATGCCAGAAAATGAATCTGTCATAGTTTTAATTCCTTCTAAGGACTCAATATAATGAGTGCATTATTTTTATTATTTTCCTATTGATGGTAGTTAGCTCATTTATCATCCATGCTAGCATGTGGACTTTAAAAACTCAATTAAAACTTATAGTTCTCCAACTACTTTAAGTTTGAGATAGTGTCAAAGCAGGTAGATGTAACAGTCCCCTTTCCTCAGGACCAAACTTAATTAGATATAAAATATAAAACTATCAACCCAAATTATGAAGTAAATACTTTCTAAATAGAAGTATATAATGAAAGATTTACAGGAATGACTCTGGTGCTTTTTGCTGAGGAGCCCTGAATGGGTTAATACCACATTTTCTACACATACCTATAGGATCTCAGCTATCACTCATGTGGTTTGACCCTGCACTCAAGTTGGTAATAAAAACCAAGACTCAATTACAAAGAAAGGGCTTACATAATTCATACAAATATATGTCTGAAGTGCCTAGTTCAGGTGATCAAGGAGACAGGCACTAGATCCCAGAACTAAAAAAGCTAAAAGAGTTATTGCCACTGAAGAAGTATTACAATAAATGCTAAGAGGCCTTCAAGAGGAAAAAAAAAGTATATAAATGGAGGAGAAGGAGGAGTAGAAGAAGAAGGAAAAGAAAAGGGGAGGAGGGGAAAACAGAGAAGAAGAAGGGCAAGAACAAGAAGAGAAATAGAGTTACAAATGATAAAATACAATCACTTATATAAAAGTTACAATAAATATGTACCTCTCAATAATCACTTGGAAAGTAAATGGTCTAAATGCTTCAATCAGAAGACATAAGGTAGCTGAATGGATAAGAGAATGAAACCCTAGAAGAGACTCACTTAATAATAAAAAATAAGCACAGAATAAAAATAAAGACTCGGAAAAATATAATTTATTGAAGTGAAAATTAAAATAAACTTAGGTAACAATATTTATCTTAGTCATACATTTATAGTTTTATTTTATTTTTTAAATTTATCTTTATTGTTGAAAATATTATAGATGTCCTTTCTTCTCCATTTACCTCTCCACATCTCATCCACCCCCCAGGCTTTTGCTGCTCTATTGTCTGTGTCCATGGGTTATGCATATATGTATATAAGTTCTTTGGCTAGTCTCTTTCCATCACCCATCCTTCTCCCCTTCTGAGATTTTTCATCAATCTGTTGCATGCTTCCATGTCTCTGGATCTATTTTTTTATCAGTTTATTTTATTTATTAGCTTCCACATATGAGTGAGATCATGTGATACTTGTCTTTCTCTGACTGGCTTAGCATAATACTCTCCAGGTCCAACCATGCTATCTCAAAGGGTAACAGGTCCTTCTTTTTTACACTTGCATAGTATTCCATTGTGTAAATGTTGAGGACATGGAGAAAAGGGAAACCTAGCACACTGCTGGTGGGAATGCAGCCTGGTACAGTCATTTTGGAAAATAATATGGAGTTTCCTCATATTGCCTTTTGACCCAGTAATCCCACTTGTAGGCATATATCATAAGAACCCCCAAACATCAATCCAGAAAAAACATATGCACCTCTCTGTTCATAGCAGCACTATTTACAATAGTTAAGGTCTGGAAAGAGCCCAAGTGCCCATCAGTAGACGAGTCGATTAAAAAAAGATAGGCAAACAAACTTTTAAACAAAGGCTATATTAGGAGACAAAGAAGGACACTACATGATAAAGAAGCAATTCAACAAGAGAATATAACCCTTGTAAATATTTATGCACCTAAAATAAGAGCACATAAATATATAAAACAAATTTGGATGGCCATACTGGGTGAAATCAACAGTAAGAGTCATACTAAGAAACTGTAACACCCTGTTAACATCAATGGATAATTCCTCTGGAATTAAAATTAAAAAACAAAACAAAACAGTGACTTTAAATGACACACTAGATGAGATGAATTTAATTGATATCTTAAGAGCATTTCACCTCATAGTAGCAGAATATACAATCTTTTCAATTGCACATGGAATATTTTCTAGGATAGACCAGATGCTGAAAGTCAAAATAAGTCTCAAAAACTTTAAAAAGTTTGTAATTATATCAAGCATCTTCTCTGACTTTAATGCTATGAAACTTGAAATCAATCACACACAAAAATTAAAAGCACACAAACAATGGCCAAATAACATATTACTAAACAATTAATAGGTTAACAGATCAAGTAAGAAATAAAAATATGTCAGCAAGAAAATGAAAATAAGAGTACAACAAACCAAAATCTAAGAAAAGTAGCAAAGGTAGTTCTAAGAGGAAAATTCATAGCATTACAAGCCTACCTCAAGAAACAAAAAAAAATCTCAAATAATCTAATTTTACATTTAAAGGAATTAGAAATATAGCAGCAAACAAAGCACAAAGTGAGAAAAAGGAAGAAAATAACAAAGACCAGAGAGGAAATAAACAAAATAGAATCTTAAATTTTCTTTAAAAAATCAACAAACTCCATAGCTGTTTTTTTAAAATAGTTAACAAAGATTGACATTTTTTTTACTAGACATATAAAAGCAACAACAAAACAGAAAATCCAAATAAAAAAATTCAAATACACTAGAGAAGTAACATGTGATACCACAGAAACACAAAGAATTATAAAAAACAAACAAACAAACAAAACCAGAACAAGCATATGCCAGAAACTGTACTAGCAGGAAGAAATGTACTAGCAGGAAACATTTCTAGGAACATATAATCCTTTAAAACTGAATCAGAAAGAATAAGAAAATCTGAGTAAACAAATTAAAACTAATGAAATTGATATAGTAATATAAGAAAAATCATTTTAAAAAACAAAGGTAATGGACAGATTGCTTCACAGGAAAATTTTACAAACCATTCAGAAAAGAACTCTTATCCTTCTCAAACTATTCCAAAATTCTGAGTAGTGAAGATATGTAAGTTGGTTGTAGTAGGTCAGCAGTGTCCTAGTTCTAAAGCCAGAAAAAATACTACAAAGAAAGAAAATTAGAATCCAATATTCCTCATGAATATGCTAATATTAACAAAATATTAGCAAACTGGGTTCAGGAATACATTAAAGAGATTATACAAAGAAATTCATGGTAAAATGACTGCAGAGTAAAAGGAGATTACCTGCAGCTGCTCCCAGCCAGGGACTGGATTTATAGCTAAAATACTGTGCAGTCTACTGAGAAAAAAAGTAGCTGACTGGACATATTATATCTAAGGAGCTCCAAAGAAACCAAGTAGAGACTGGTAATAGAAGGTGGATCATGGAAAGGGGTAGACCCCTGAAGCAGGTGCTAGAATGAAAGGACAAATGATATAAGCTGCAAAGATCCTTCCCCTTGGAAGTATGGGACCTCAACATTACACAGGGATCCCAAAGCCAGAGCAGCAGAGACAGTAAGAAGAGTCTGAGAAGCATCAAGCAAAGGGGACCAGGGGGACTCTGTTTGCCTTATAGACTTGAACCACACCTTTCCAGTGAGGGTGTGCTCACATTGTTAGCAGTTCCAGCCTAAGAAGTTTGCTCTGGGCTCTGACTATTGCACTGTAATGTTTGGGTACAGCAGAGGGTCTTGTGGGTTGCACCCAACAGTGACTTTGAGGGACTGTCTACTTTCTTAAAAGGCATTGCGCAGACCTACAGTCAGTGACTAAACTCTTTGGGTATGAGAAAAGTGAAAGGACTGTCACACATCAAGAGCAGGGCTGGAACCCCTTCTCCCCCTTGTGGAGCCTCCTGGACTGCTGGTACTGTGGGATTAGCAGTATGGATGAGTAGGGCAGGTAGGGGAGTTTGGGCCTGCATTGGGGAGAGTTGATAGCATGAGCAGAGATAAGAATCTTAGATGCCACTTTGCTGAGACCAGCAGCATGGAGAGATTTAAGTCTTGAGCAGGGCTGATTACGTTATGCCTACTGCTTGAACTTGTGGCTCAAGGTCACCAGCAGAGTAGGGATTTTTGGACTGTATGCCTGAGTAAGGTTTCCTTTGGGGAGATAGATACGTGAGGTTTGTACTTTGTGGCTGCATTGTGGAGAGGCTCAACTGAGCTCCCTTTGAGTTCAGGCCAGCCCATCCTGGAAAAAAGAAGCAGAGCCTGCCGCCTCCTCCTGTATGCAGGAAATACCGATCCCCAACAGGCGACTTTTTGGTTCAGCTCTATGAAGTTTGGGATATTCTTGCTAGATGCAGTTCTCTGGAGAATGGGAGAGTGGTTCAGAGCAGGATATTCCAAATGTGAGACCTGCAGAGGCTACTGCCTGCTACCAGGAGGAAGAGCTAGACCCCTTCTATGGGCTAGGTTGGAATCATTCTCAACTAGAGACTCTTGTTCAATCCCACTGACCACAGACAGCTGACTACAGTCTGCTCCTCCAGAGCAGACTACAGACTGTACCTAACCTGAATCTGCATTAGGGCACATTATGGGGAACTAGAGTAGGAGTATCTGATAGAGACTAAAGGGTTTGGGTTTGAAGCAGAGACTAATTTCCCCTCATTGTGTTTCTGACTAAATAATTTCCAAGCAGGGGACCCACTACCTTGAAGTAGGCT